AGCTGAAGGTAATGAGCAAAACCTGCCTGATGCAAGAGAAATCCTGTGCTAAATTGTCTCCTACAAGGCAGACACCGTCACCCATCACAGGTGTGTTTGGGCCAGCATTGAGTTAAATGCAGCTGGAGGAATAACAGGGCTGGAAACCCAGAACAAACCTGCACTGAAGTGTTTTCCAGGAGTACAAAATGCAGCCTGAAAACTGATAACCTGCTTGTGTGGTCCAGGCTACTGCTTAAAATAGCCAAATATATTTGAATGCTGATAAAGCGTGTGTGGCTTTGGAGTTTTGTGGAAATGGAGTAATCGTGATAGTTTCTTTGGAAGTATGTCACTGTTTTGATGCTTTTTGCTAGCCTTTTTCAAGCTGTTTTCTTAGTTACTAGATCAGCGAGGTAAAGGCACCCTTTCCTGGTGTCTTTCAGGACTAACTGCTATCTATTCATTTATATTGTGCCAAATTAAATAGTATAAATCATTTGGGGATTCTTTTCAAGTTACTTGTAAAATTTGGACATGCAGCTGAAATTCTCCTGATGCAATAGAGGTGCTGAAGGTGGTTCAAAATGAATCTGAGCAAGTCACCTTTAATCACAGTGAGGAAGAGGAGTTCACAGATGCAAAGGTCCTGACTTCCCCTCTGCTTTTCAAGTGAAATAGTAGTAAAATAGCACTAGTGACAGAGGGTCTGCCGTCTCAAGCAGTTTGGCAAGGGGGAATAAAGGGTACTTCTGATGCCAAGCTGATGGCATCCAGAGAAGTATCAGTTCAGACTGTGCTGTTAGCTACCCAGTGTGTAGCTGAGCTGTGGGTCTGGCAGTGGGCAGCTGGGGATGCTGGGTTTGGGCTCAGAAACTTTGCTTTTTTTTTACATCCAAAAATTCCATTTCTGGCTGAGGAAGTTTGAATCTGGCTTTGTGGGGGGGGCTTTAGTAAAAAATCACTAAAGGCTTTGCTTGTTGTTATAGTACTCAGTAGCTATGTGGTGTTAGTGCGTTGAAGATAAGATGTTAAAGAAATGGGCTTTTGCTCTTAGTGATGAGTGCGTTTTCAAGTTTTAATTATTCAGACGCCGCTTTTTAGTGCATTATGATAAAATTAACAAAATGGGGGTTTTAGTAAAGTATATATGAGCAGCACAGCCCAGTGAAATCAGACTTGCTTTGTTTTCTGAATCATGCCACCTACATGCTCCAAGTGCAAATGTAACTCCCAGCTGGTAACTCTGTGTTAGCAGATAGCAAGTATTAGTGCCGTCTTGTAAATGTTGCTGCATAATCATCATTCAGTACTATTTAAATTATCTGACTGCTTTAGATCAGTCAGTACAATGCAAACAATATTATCTTTGGTTGTTTGTATATTCCAGTGTGCAGAAGGCCTTTTAATTAGTTAAACTTCTTGATAAACACCTGAAGTATATTTAAGGCCCTGTTAAAAGATTAAGTTTTGTCTTGCATGTGAAAAATACAAGATGGAATGTGCAGTTTCTGCTATAGAAAGCTGTTTTGGCAGCAGTGGGCTGGCTCTGCTGATAGTGCATCTTCAGACTGTCAGCAGTGTCCTGGAGAAACAAGTCGCACAACTTCAGTGTCCCTTCATCTTGCTCCATTTGAGTTTAGTGTTGTTAGGTATACTGTAGGGGGAAAAGGGGAATCATGGAATCAGAGACTGGTTTGGGTTGGGAAGGCCCTGAAAGACCATCCATTTCCAACCCCTTGGCAGTGTTCAAGGCCAGGCTGGACACAGGGGCTTGGAACAAGCTGCTCTAGTGGAAGGGGTCCCTGCCCGTGGCAGGGGTTGGAGCTGGAGGAGCTTTAAGGTGCCTTCTAACCCAAACCAGGCTGGGGTAAGATTCTATGATACGAAGGACAGGCTGGGTCTACAGGCAGTGTTATGCTTTCAGAAAGCGAATTTGAGGCACAACAAGGCAAAGTGCTTAATCTGATACAAAATTTTCTTAAATGCTTGGTTTAGTAGCATTTTTTAATGGAACAGTCTTATTTTGCTTTCTCCAGTTGTGAGTTTTTTCTGTTGTCTTTTTCTGGAGCTATATTTGATTCCATAGTGCGAGTTTCTAAGAATATGATTAACCCTATGGGTCATCTTATAATGTAATTATTAATGATTGATTCTGTTTATCCTGGAAATCAATATGAGAAGCAAAATGGTCGGGCATATATTTGGGGTTGATTTCTAACATTCAGTAAACATGATCTTGTGACAAGACTGGTATCGGTTTATTACTCGGAACATGTTTGATGAATCTGAAGTGTGTAATTAGTTTTATATAATGATGGTGATATGTGGGGTTTTTTACATGACTTATGTTAATATGGCCAATAGTGTTAACATCTCCTGCCACTAATAGTTAGGGTGGGGATGTATAGTAATTGATCTTCCTGGGAGTGCTGTAATGTAAAAACAATTCAGGCTGTTTGAAGTATATTTTACAAGTGTGCATTGGGCCTTTGGGATGTTAGACTGAAAAACCCAATTGTACAGTTACCATGGGAACCCAATTAGAATAGATTGCCGGAGTGTTTTTTTTTCAGCCTTTCATCTTGACCAAAAATCTAATGTACTTTAAATGTTTTCATATGGAATTTTAGTCATATACTGACTTGATGTAATAGCTGCTTTTAGATTTTAGTACTGAAACCAGGGTATTGCGTTCTGTGGCTCCTGAGGACTTGTCTTTCAAGGAGAATCTTCTTTTAGTGCTTAAAAGTTGATGAACTGAGAAAAATACTTTTTATGAATCTAAGTTCTTACTGTAGAGCTGCCATCACATGTACTTCTTAGGCTGCAGTCCTGTGAAAATAAACAGGGAAGTATCTTAAACCCCAAGGGTTTCTGTTCTAGACGATCAACAAAATAGAGCTGAACTTTTTCATGGCCTTGAAAGATCTGATTTTTGATGTAACCTCTGACTTTCCTTTACATTTTTGCTTTATTGACATACTCAGATTTGGAATGCTCGCAGGTTGGGTATGTGATATATTGGCTTCCTGCACCATCTCATCTCCTGCTTTGCAGGAGCTCCTCTTCAGTACCTGAAGGCATTTGTGTATATTCCATGTCTCTCAGGAGCATCCTGCTGCCTGGCTGCTTGTCAGCATGGGTTCAACCTCAGCACAGCTCTTGTGTGGGAACAGAAGTTTTGGGCAACTTGGGTGGCTGCCCCATCCCTGGCAGTGTTCAAGGCCAGGTTGGACACAGGGACTTAGAGCAAGCTGCTCTAGTGGAAGGTGTCCCAGCCCATGGCAGGGGGTTGGAACTGGCTGAGCTTTTAGGTCCCTCCCAACAGAAACCAGTCTGGGATTCTGTGATCATGATTGAAAGGCCAAGGGGAGTGGAGGTAGGCACCCAACAGGAGATGGGCAGCTCTGAGCTAGTGAGGATGGGGACACATTGCTCTTTTTTGCCTCACTTCTGGTTGTTCATTGATCCCTTCAGTTTATCCTACTCTCTGAAGATGCAGGATGAAATTTTCCATTTTGGTGAAGGTGCTGCTGACAAAAAGTCTTTTAAGGTTGGAAGATGGGTCTTGTGATCCCAGTGTCTGTTTCTAGAATGTGTTAGTATCGTGATTGAAGTTGATCCGTGGCAATTCCTGTGCCATTCAGAAGAGGTGTTGTGCGCCTCCCTTCAAAATCAACCTTAGGGGAGCCCTTCAGCTCAGTGTGAAGTTGGTAGTGTGTATATTGACCTCTTCCAACAAGACAGTCTTTGCAAGGTTGGGATGCATCTCTGGAGTGATGTTTTGGACTTACCTAGCCTTCTGACTTACAACAGCAGTAGTCTTGTATCATTTTCACCTATCTAGCTCCTGGTAGTCTCCTAACCACCATTGGGCATTACTGGCTTTGCCCCAGTTACCTGTCATCAGAGGAGAGTTGCTTGGGGCTAGCACATGATTGAGCTCAGCCTGAGGCATGAATAGGTCATGAACACTAATCTGTTTGTCTCTTCCCTTTGCTTGTCTCAGCCACCAACTTAACCAATGTCTCAGTGGTCCTAGGGGCTTCCCCCAATGTATTGCCCCATTCTTGGGACTTAACACAGGGAACAAGCAATGGTCATGCTTGTGAGGTGCTACCTAGTCCTTTTGCAAGAATCCTTTCTCTTTAAAGTTGGGACGTGTTCTCCTTGAAGCTTAGTTTCTCCACCAGGCACTGCATCCTTCATGAGCTGTATGTGCTTATGCTCAAAGTCAGTTTCTGTCTGGTTCAGAGCATCAAAAATCCCATTTGCTGAGGACCTTAAATCACTTACAGATGGGTGTAAAGTTTTCCTGTGCTGTAGGTAGTCTTTGGCCCAGGTCTGAAATGAGCTTCTGGATAAATCTGTTTTTGAAGGCAGTTACCCCTCAGGAAAGCCTGGAAAAGCTCAGTGTTGCTGCTGCACACCTTGAAGGTCAAAACTCCGAACTGATAGTAGACATAAACTGCTCTTTTATTTTTAGCTCCATCACAGGTATCGTAAGTAGCATTACTGGATTGCTCATCTGCCTGACTTGCATTTAATAAAGGAATGAGTGATCTTTACAGTGCCCACCTTGTAAGGTTCAGCTTGGTAGCATATTTAAATACTTATTATTCAGGGTCTTAACTTTACATCTTAATCATTTTAAGAGTTTAAAGATAAGATTAAATATTACTGTTTTGTTATAAGTAATTTGGAGGTGGCTGTAAGTAGTGTCATTGCCTTGGACTTAAAGATTTGATGTGTTTGAGAGGCATTAGAAAGCCTCAGATGTTCATACCACTCCTTTTAAGAGATTTATCATGTCTTAAGCGGATACAGTTATCCTCTCCTGTGGAGTAGGGAGTTCCCTCACTTAAGTGGAAGAGTTCCCATTGAGTTTGGCTGTGAGTCAGGACTCCAGAGCTGAGCTTTGGCAGATAATCTCCCTGGTTTTAGAAAATGGAATGCTTAGAGCACATCTTCTCAAGATCTGGTGGTCTTGGATAAATAGCGCTGAAAAAATAGAGGGGAAACTAAGTATATGCCCAGGAAGTAGCAATCATCCTTTATTTCCAAGGGGAGAGCAAAGAGGAACCGGTTGTATTATGTTAATGATACATGAATAAAGATACTGTTACATAGTTATAGTATAGATGCTGTTAATATATAGGTATAACTGATATTAACATTTCTAGGTGCTTTCTTAGTGTGTTGCAGTCTGTTCTTTTAAACCCAGAATGTAACTAAGTCACTCTCTTTCTTGGCTTAAAATGTGCTATTTCCTAAATCACAGAAGGCTGTTTACTAAGTGACTCAGAAGTGCATCACTGCCTGTACAAATATTCCTTAAACAAATACTTTATCTTCTAAGGTATTCTTATTCAAAATATCAGAGTTGTGCAGTGCTGGTTATTGAAGAAATCTTCCCGTGTTGATTTGTTGACTCCTAAGAAGCAGCAGATGACCTATGAACATTAAATGTCTGGTTGCTTATGGAAAGAAATTAAACTCCCTTTTCATATTATATACTGAAACTTAGAACTCATTGAAAAAAGCTGATTAGAAGGGAAATAACACTACTGAGGTACAATTTTTCCTGTGGAATTCAAATTAAATCACCATCTAATGGAGTTTCTTTTTCCTTACAGGTGGAGACCTTTCATCTACCATGGCATCGAGGCGTGTTCCAAAAGTGAGTTTCCAGTACCATCCCCTTGCATTTAGGTGTACGCTGGAAGTCCAGCATTACAAAAGAGTTCACGTAACATAGTTCGGTTTTTCCCCTGTGTCCAGCAGTCAGTATTAAGAATCCAGCTGACAAGATTGATGCTGCATTGTAAATCTCTGTAGCTCTGTCATGGTTGGTAACAGGCATCAGTGGACCTTTCCCCAGCACGTATCTATCTGCCACAGAGCATAAACTAACAGGACAATGGTACGTTTTCAGTGTGTCAGCTGGTTGTTTCCTAATAAATACCTCGCTGGAAAACAGGCTTAATTCTAAGCCTTGATGCTTCAATGAGGGAAGTGTGGTCAGTAAGCTTATAGTAAAATAAGACACCAGGGCTCGTTATCACAGCATTCAGAACAATTTACCATGCTGAAGGGAAAGCATCAACGCGTTTTGAATCAATAACCTTATATTTCAGATAATTAAAATGAACTTTGAAGGGATGAATACATTTTTTTCCTCTGGAATATCTATTTTTCTAACATTAGTAATGCTCCTCTAGGAAAATATTTCGAGTACAATCAAACTTGCATATCTAACTATTCCTGCTGGCAACTTGTATCACTGTTACAAATGTCTTAATAATGGCATCTCCTGTAGTTTTAATTTGCTTTATGTAATATAATGTGGCTTAGAAAAGGACTATTTTGGATATTCTGTGTCTTCTGTCCATCTTTAGAGGATTTCTTTTTCTCACAAAATAAAATTTTTCTTTTAAAAATGGAGTTGAGGAAGAAATTTAGGAAAATAAATTCTTTCTTTAAAACAGTCATCTGTTGAGTTACATTTATGTCTCTTCCAGCTGCAAACATCTTTTTAGCAGGTACCTGGAATTAAGGGCAAAGAAATAGCTGATTATCTTCTGCACAACCAGGCATGGTGGGAAGAGTCACTAGTTCCCCCTCACTCAAAGCTAGGTGTGATTTAGCTGGCAAGTGACATGAAACTAATGGTTTATTATCTAACCTTTTAATTTCCCCCACTCATTTCTAGTTGAAAGGTGCAGTGCTGGCTGTTAGGGGAGCTTTCCCCTTGTGATATGTGAGAAAGCAGGTTTAAGGGAAAACACATGAACTCTCATAGCCCCAGCTGCAGACGTAGCCTGGGCTCCTCTGGTCCTGCTTCCCCCCATTCTGGTTGCATATTAAATATGTATGTAATGTAGCCCATAGTTCTTTAGTGATATTTATAGCACGTGATTAGTTTACAGCTTCACTTTAAGCACAACCACACGCTGGTGTGACACAATATATGCCTGGCATATGGCTTTTGCAGGAATCAATTATCACCGATGTAATGTGCTGAACAGTTTATAAGCAGGTTGCTAGAAAACGGGTTCTGAAAGCAGCCAGACCTGGAACAGGCTTCCCAGGGAAGTGGTGGAATCACCATCCCTGGAAGTGTTCACAAACCCATGTGGATGAGGGCCTTCGTGATGTGTGTTGGTGGTGGCCTTGGCAGTGCTGGGGTAAAGGTTGGACGTGATGCTCTTAAAGGTCTTTTCCAACCTGCTTGATTCCATGACTGATTTTTTTCCATCATCACTCTGTGTCTCCCACTCAATCCCTGCTTTTGTTGTGAGCAGGGATGTATGTTGGGTTTGTGTGGAAGAGGCTGAAACATGGCTGTTCTGTGTGCTGCACACATCAGGGATGACTGTGTTTCAGAGGTTTTGGGGTTTGTGGTGTTCTGACAAGGTGGCAATTTTTCTATATCATAAGAAATTTAATTTGAAATGCAATTCTGTTCCTCTCTGGGTTTCTTGTGGTTATTAAATTGAAACTCGGTAAATAGATTCCTGTACTAACTGTGATGCTTCACTCTCTGTTAGTACAGAGATACACTTGTCCACACTGTCCTGAATCAAACAGATTGATAACGATAGGAAAATTCAGATGCATGTGCCAAGGCTATAATGTTGTGGTTTTGTAGGAGTCTTTGACACCTCCTTTTGTCTGTATTTGTTTTCCTTCAGGTGCATTTGAATTTTTAGTGAATTCTTAATACATACCATGTGGCTTTATTTGTTGGGAGCTGTTTTACTCCCTAAAAATGTCAATGAATTTCTGTCCTTGAACACAATTCAGATTTCCGGAGTCTCCTTCAGCTTAAGGAGCACTATTAATGGTTTTGTTCATATTGCTTAGATTTATTTGGTTATTATTCTCTAGCTCCTGCTCTTCAGGTATAGCCGGTTTGGTATTATAAGGAATGATGGATTATACAGGAAAGTTTCTTTTGAAGCACTCCTGATATTGTGCAATGCACTTGGGGGTCAGCTACACTTGACTGATGCATGATTTATCCAATGTCCCTGCCACTTTTGGAGATAAAGCTGCTATTTTATCAAAAATGCCAGCAAGTGTGATTTAGAATTTATACCCCTCCTTTTTCAAATAATTGTTCTGAGTACTTTGTGCCATGGCAATAAAATGATAAAGGTAATTGCACACAAATGTGAGCTAGCACCAAAATACAATAAAATTAACCTGAATTAGCTTGACTTGTCGATGAGAAGTATTTATGAAATGTATTTTTGCAATAAGGGAGACTGATATTATAGCTGGGAGGTGAGTTATTGCCTTAATGTAATACTGCTTGAAATTTAAAAAAGAGACTGTTACAGTTGAGGGTGATTGTGCCTTTGAAATTAAGTTGAAGTGATTCTTATAATTGGCAGCGATAATGCATTGGGAAGGTAATATCTTTTATTGTGTTATGCCTAGTTGCATTATCTTTTATTTAGCTGGTCCTGACTTCAGCTCTGCGGAGAACACAAGGAGGAGCAGATCAGGAATTCTGTGGCTTTAGGTGATAAGAATCTGAAGTGTTTGCTAGCATTAGTGATTCTCATGCTAGATTTTTCAGTTTTAGCCCATTTTCAGTTCTGGACCTGATAAAAGTCTCATTTGATTAAAATTTCATCTATTTTCTGTAGTAGTTGCTATATATTTACATACACAGCTGAGCCCTGTAACAGTAGAGATGTCAGGCTTGCTATATCATGTATACATGTACATCAGGTGGGGATTTTGTCAGTGAAATTCTGTATTTCTCAGTGCCTTGGGGTATAACCTGCTTTTCTGAGAAGGTGTATGTACATTTACAGCAAGCACTTCAGTGGTTAAGCAGTGGATCTTCACATGTTCACTAATATCTTGAGTTTAGCTTTTGAGGTGGTGAATGCAACTGGAAAATCCAGACAGCTACACAATGACTTCTTTTCCTTTGCATCAGACTTGTTAAAACTCCAACCAGTAACAACTAAATACTAATGTGGGAGACCCTCTAATTCTTAAAAGCATTTTTCACCTTTGATTCTGCAGTATGATATTTCTTTAATTCTTTGGCAACAAATTAATGTATTACAAGTTAGTGTTGTATTGCATGTGATTGCATGTTAAAGCACCGAATAACTGATTGAAGGATAACATCGCTTTGTAGTGTTGCGCAGTGAATAACCTGACATATGGTTTTCAGCCTAAACAATGAGGGACAGGAGGCTTAGTCCTTTGTCATCAGTATGGCAGGAATGACAACATGCTACCCATGGCAGATATACCAAGCCCCATGGCTTATTCTGAAGGTGCGGTTTTGGTTTAACCAGGGTGAGATTTACTTATAGAAGCATGCGAAGCATTGGAGATACTGGAATACTGCAGTATATCTCAGGGCAGCTCTTGTTTCAAAGCCTTATCTGGATTACAGTCCTGTTCTTCAGATGGGGAGGTGTTTATTAGTCTTGCACAAGAACAAAAATACATGGACCTGATAATAGAGTGTTTTATTCTGGCAAGCTGAAGGTTTGCTTTGGGTGCCATAGGAAGAGGAAATACATGCAGTATAGACAGTTATTGTGTGATGTGTAAGGGGAAAAGTAACTTATGTCCCTGTAAGTGGTCATCTGTGTAGGGACCTATTAGGATCGGGGCATTCTTAGAGCTTAGAGTTCACTGTTTAGCTGGAGATCTTTAGACTGTTTTTCAAGAGAAAGAAACAGCTTCTAGAAAAGCTTTTATTTTAGCTTTGGAAAAATCAACTGCTTCATATTAAGCAAAAAGACTAACAATTAAATGCTGCTTATTCTGTGTAATTTTTATTCCAGTGTATAAACTGGGCAGGAAACTTCTCTTCAGCTCTTCCCTTTCATCCCTGAAATTGCTTGTGGTACATAAATTCTCTTCTCTTGAAGCACTAGCAGCTGCTCTTCATTTGGAAGGTAAAAACATAGATGATTAATAAAGGTATTGGTATGCCCCATCCCTGGCAGTGTTCAAGGCCAGGTTGAAAGGGGCTTGGAGCCACCTGCTGTAGTGAAAGGTGTCCCTGCCTGTGGCAGGGGTTGGAACTGGATGTGCTTTAAGATCCCTTCCCACCCAAACCAGTCTGATTCTGTGATATTAACAGCAGGAGGCTTTTTGACTTCTCATTTGATCACATACTGATTATATGGATCCTGTGTTTTTCCCAGTCCTTAGGTATTTTCTATTCTAGAACACTTGAGTGTAAGAAATGCTTTTCTCATCTAAGATGAGCTATATAAGGCTGGAAAATGACCCTCTGCACTGCAGTAGAAGCACACAAATGCATTAGCTTTACTATTAATATCTCTTCCCATATTCTTTATGTACAATGGATTGTTTCCTTTCAAATAAACATGCAGAAACCAGTAAAACAAATACAGGAAGTTTTAAGCTATTAAGGAGATGTTGAGAGGACTATAATTCAATGAAACCTGTGGATGCATGGATCAGTGGCATGTGTAAGCTCGCTGGGGGCTGTGCCAAAAGGGGGGCTGTGGTCCACCTTGTAACTCATTGTACATCAGTGGTATGTTGACCTTTACACTTCAGAGTAGACAGGGTTTTAGTAAAGTCATCCCTGTTCTACTGCTTCTGAGTTGTTAGTGACAGACACGTCCAACTTATCATTTCTTATGATGGTCCCTGATTGCTTTTGCC